AACTCAATCCATTGAAAAATTATTGATTTCAATCAGATCAATATTGATTATTTATTCCCATTTGATCCAGTTTAATTCAGCAGAGCAAAAACATATCAAAATAATAAATTTATTTAATATTACATAGTGCATGAAATCTAATCAATGTATTTATATTTGAATTCCAGTTTAAATCAATGTGAATGTAAAGCAGCTGCTGTTCTTCATTACATCAGTTTTTTACTTCAGTTCAGTAAAGTTTCAGTTCAGTAAAGTTTCAGTTCAGTAAAGTTTCAGTTCATTCAGTGAAATTCAGATTTCATTCTTCAAACCCGGTTTGGTGAACTGGATCTGAATGCAGATTAGACTGGAAATCTGGTGATTTCTCCACAGAAACTGAAGACGATTCACTGAGACTTTGACTACACCACAATAATAAACATCATTTAGCAGTTAACATCCTGTCACGCTAAAGCCACACATGGAAAAGGTAAAACTCTGCAGCTCCAGCCCCATCTGGAGCAGAAACTTAACAAATAAATAAAACTGTTTCAGCTGTGATGAAACATCCTGAAGGAATCTTCATCAGTTTCACATTGAGGATCATTGATGATGGCTTTAAATTTGAGTTATTTTAAATTGCTGCTGGCTTTCCAATGATCATTTCTCTCTGATTCTCCAAACTGACATCATGTCTACTGCAGGTAAGATAGTGACTCCTCTGGGCTACTCCACACATCCCTCCTCAAATTAAGCTACTTACTTAAACATAAGAACAGAAAAACAGGTCTGAGACGAATGAGTGTCTGAACTCATTCAGACTTTTTAAATGTGAACCTGAGGAGCATAAGAACCGTTGGAGGATAAATCAGCTCAGCTCCTCCTGAACCCTTCGTCTCACCCGGCTCCCCTTTGCTCCAGCGAGGGAACATTTCCGTTACTGGGAACGTCCCTGAACGTTGGACGCTCATTTGTCTCCTGCAGGGCCCCGCTGCTGCCTTTTCATGGGCCTGTAAGAATAATTTAGAGCTGGAGGCCTGAGATCGCTGGAGATTATTGCTTTGAAAGGGAAAAGGACAAGTCATTAATGCTTGATGGTCAGACAGAAGAAAGAGAAACGGATCCTTAACTGGAGCTGACACCAGAACCGACTCATTCAGAGACACAGGAGGAAAAACAGGCCTGATGAAGAACCAAGGAAATATCTGGAGATGATAAACATGTAGGAAAATATGGAAAATGAAGGACAAAGGTTTAAAAAACATTCATCTGGTTTTCATGTGGAAACGACTCACATGAACTACAAAAAGTGACAAAAGTCTTTACAGAAATGTAGTGGAGTAAAAAGTATGATTTTATTCTCAAACTGAAAGAAAAACTTGAGAAAAAATGATCAAAAACTACTTAAAGCTGCAACATGTGACTTTTATTTAAAAAAAAGTGATTTTTACACACTTGTAAAAATCATTTTTTCAAAATCTGTGAAAACATTCATCAGAGCCAGGAGGCGGGGCATAGCGCTGTCAATCACCTCATGTACTCGCTGCTAAATGAACTGATGGCAGAGAAACAATTCAGTTTCAGGAAAAATATTTATCCGCCATTACTGGACTCTATGTGAACGCTAACTAGCCTTAGCATGCTAGCTCCCAGTGCAGCTAGCAGCCAGAGCAGCCAGATTTTGTTCAGTTCATCATAAACTGTCAACATGGTCACAGTTTCAACAAACAGTTAAAAAAAATTTAAATATAAAAATTACATACTGTAGATTTAAAACAGGAAGTAAATTTTTTTCGTCACTGCTCTTCTGTCAGTAATCTGGTCATTAGCAAGACTGCAGACTGAAGATGTGATTCAGTCTTTTTATTCAGGACCTGCTGTAATAAAGACAAAAGTTCAAACGTTTTTCTTTTGAACTTTTACATGCCTTCCATGTTTTTAAAAACCTGAAGGCATCAAATGGGTAAAAAAATAAATGTCTGTTTTTTTGCTGATGATATATTTAACCAACAGCAGATTTTACCTGAGTCCAGTATGATTTCTGCACCAACATGAGAATTTCTTTCAATTTTGAAAACTCAGCATGCAGCAGATGATGAAGGGAAATGATTAAAATAGCATTTAAAGGTTGAAATGAACTTTAAATATCACAAAAAATCTGTGATATTTAGTGTTGAAGACGCTTGGAGGTAACAGGAAGAACTAGGGGCGACCTGAAACTTTCGCACAGTGGCATAAAGTAGCTGGAGTCAGAACGTGTGTGTGTGTGTGGGTGTGTGTGTGTGTGTGCTTGGGTGGGTGTGTGTGTGTGCGTGTGTGCGTGTGTGTGTGTGTGTGTGTGTCTGCAGAGACCCCCCACCAGGCAGCCTCTCCCGGCCGGAGAGCAGAGGGGGGATTTCTCCATATCTGAATAAATTTGGGGTCTCCTCTAAAGGTCCTGGTGTCCAGCCTGCTGCTGACCTTTGACCCCGGCAGAAGAAAAGTTATTGAGGCCTCCTGAAGCGGAGGAGAGTCTGGGAAAGTGGCCTGATGAAGGCAAAGGGCGGCTCACTGGGGTCACAGCACAGAAAGACAGGAGTTTTCAGAGGGTGGGGGGCAGAAGGGGCAGCTCGTTGCCCCCCTGCCCCCCAGATCCATAAGTGTGTCCCTGCAGCTATTGTGACTCTGAGCTGCAGCAGGACAGAAGGCCTCACACTAACAATGTTTTCTGCCTTTTGTTTCTCTCCGGCTTTCTTCTTCTGCCTCCATCGCGATGCTGCGCCTCCTTTGTATCGATTTCCCTCATTCAGCCTCTTTCTGCCGTTTTTATGCTCTTTCCGCGCCGCACCTCCCCCGCTGCAGCCGTCGCCCCTCTGCTGGCATCCGCCGCAGTGTGAGAACCTCTTGGAGCGATGCTGCTCGTTAAAGACAACTAATTGATTGAGAATGTAATTAGAGTGACAATCGGAAAAGGGAAATCAATACGCTGGAAGTCAGGAGAATCACGTCAGGCAGGACAAAACGGAGCAGCGGATGTTTGCATCACTGTCACCTCCAACAGAAGAGCTGAGCTCTGAGTCAACAGGTTTTTGTTGAGTCTATTAAAACTCTCGTCACCCACATGACAAACTACTGAGTTAAGTGGCTTAACAAGCCAAACAGATTTCTCTGGAAATGTTCTGGACTGGAAATGAAGGAAAATGCAGAAAAATATTCAAATAAAAACTGAAAGATTTTCAAAAACCCTGGAAAATTAGGAATAAACAAGAAACAGTTCCTGGAGTTTTACAGAAACAAATAAATGTTTTGTTGTATTTTCTCACACCTTGAATTTCAGAATAAAAATATTTTTAAAAAACACTTCCAGGACTTTTACTGTTACTTTTACTTAATTAATTTTATTATGAAGTATTTTTGCTCTTACTGGAGTAAAATTTCTGAATTTTCTACCCACTGAATGAAGAACAAACACAACCAAAAATTCACCTGCAGAAATATTTTTATTGAATGAAACTAATTTGGAAAGAAAACTGTTTTGCCTGATTTTTATATGAATTGTTCTCATTTGGTCATTAAAATACCAAAATTTCCACTTAACTTTAGATTTTGGTGTGTCTGATGATGTCATTTTTAAATATTAAATGGTTGATAATTGGATCAGTTACTCAGGACTTTTTACCAAATACTTTTTAAATTAATTTCTTGGAGTTTTTACTTTTACTTGAGTTGCTATAGTGCAGCTCTTACTGAGCAGTTCACACTGCCAACATGGCAGCCAGTCTCCATCCTCAGGTCAGGGTGTTCAAACTGTGGCCCCGGGGCCATTTATGGTCATTGGAATCATTTTGTTCACATTTATAATGGAAATGCAGCTAAAGACTGAAAACTAGAAGTTGTTAGATGAACTTCTGGACCCGAGAGCAGCAGAACCTTCTGGCGCCACATCGTTATGTCTGCAGTTTCATTTTGAGATACGAAGAGTTAAAGACTCTTCGGTTTTATAGAAACACTTGCAGCTGAGATTTTCTGGGAGTGAATTAAATTCAGGTCTGCAGTCTGGAGGAATCAGAGACCCTTTTTATTCACTTCAATCAAACTTAAAATACTTTCCTGAACCCAAAGGGAAAATTAATGCTATAGATCAAATGATCAAAGTTTTCTCTAAGAATCGAATGCAAGAAGCCTCTCCTGTAGCAGTCTGTAATCCAGCGGTGGCTTCTGACTGAAGACTCTGTAGTCATTGCAATGTTAAATTTGTTTATATGAGTCCAATTCACAATAGCAACTTAAAGCAATTTACAAACAAATCAATTCAGTGATATTGTAGCATCACTGAAGTCAAAATAATTATTTTTACATTCGACTTCTTTTAAAGTTTAACTACGTCTGGCTTAAACTCTGAATGTTTCTGATGTGAAGTACATCTGAGCCCAGATTGCCAGAGTTTCTTCCTCCTGCTACCAAATTATATTATAGAAATTAGTTTCTTTATATTTTGATTAGATTTTTTCCCCATGAATTTTCCTGAGGATCTAGATAAAAACTGAAAAATATCTAACTTCACAGCACCTTGTTTCTGTTTAAAAATGAAGGAATGTTTTTGTTTTTCACCCTCTAAGGCTGAAGTGACTCAAGTCCAGTTTTTGGCTTGATGTGACCTGAATCTGACCTTTTCTGAACAGGTCGACCCACTTCAATACGCGTTCCTAAACTTGACATGTATCGGATCTTTTCAAATGTGACACGAATCTTTCCAGCCAGTTCATCAGAACGACATCGATACTCGACAAACGTCACCGTTCTGCGTCTGAACACGCACAAACAACAAGCACTTCTTCTTCTCTTCTTTTTATGGTGGTTAGCAAAACACTGAGCATCGTGTGCAACGTTATTGCGCCCTCTACTGTTCATGCGGGACATTTCCAGGTCATTTGCAGTTGTGAGTCACAGATATGTGGAAATGTGAACAACCACAAAAAAAAGAAAACGATATTTGTGACTGAGCCTGAAGGCCTCCAGTGAAAAAGCAACCTAAGACCAGAGACAGACTTTCTGCAGCAGAAGTCACCAAATAAGAGGAAACATCTCAGCTGCAGCATTTAATGTTTGATAAAAGCAAGAGACAAAGTTTGTATGACTTGATCAGAGGGAGCAGATGTTCAACAGATGCTTCTCCTCTTTGTTCTGAAGTTCAGGCTTCATGGATTTTCTCCTCCTATAATCAGGCGGCCATCTTTACTGGCTGTATCACAAAGTTCAGGTAACAACTGTAGAGTCTTCCTTCTGCTTCCTGTGCTGTGCTGCTCTTCTGCCCCCTGCTGGTGAGGAGGCAGGCTGCGCGTCCTGCTGGGAGAGCTGGGAGATGAGCAGATCCACGCTTTGGACCAGAACCGTTTCCAGAACCTTCAGCTCCTCCGTCGTGAACCGACTCAGAACGTAACGCTCCACGGAGGTTTTCCCGGATGGCCGGGCGATCCCGACCCGGAGTCTGGGCATCACCTGGGGGGAAAGGTCACCAAGAGGTCACTGCTGGTTCAGCAGGGTTCCAGCAGGTTTCAGTAAGAAAAACGTAAGAGCAACACATTACCAGAAACTTTCAAAATAATGTTTTGACAAAGAAACCTTTTGTTGCTATCAGTTTAGTTATTAATGAACACTGAGGTTTGTTAATAAAAGAAATATTAAATTATTTCCCAAACTCAACACTATTACATGTCAAACTCATGCATCTGAGATCGTTACCTTTAGAACCTGGACATTTCTGGTTTCTGTTCCAATAGGTAGTGAGTTCTTGTCTATGCATGAATACAGAATTATTATACATCATGAACTGGATGTTTCAGGCCGAGAGGTCACTGCTGGTTCTGACTACATGTTCATTTATTGTAAATATTTGTTGATATGTGAATGTATTATGTTGTCTTTTGTTCCCTTTTTTACCTATTAACGTGTATAACATGTTTTTTTCCTTCATGTGGTTCAAAAGGAAGCACTTCACTGGCTCTCTGAAGAATGTGCAGGTTCAATGTGTGTGTGTGTGTGTGTGTGTGTGTGTGTGTGTGTGTGTGTGTGTGTGTGTGTGTGTGTGTGTGTGTGTGTGTGTGTGTGGGTGTGTGTGTGTGTGTTCAGTGGAAAGTTTCTTACATCGGTCTGGAGACAGTCGACACACGATCGAACTCCGTTGTGACCCCTAGGAAGAAGAAGAAAACAGAGTTAAGCTTCATGGTTCTCAAAGCTCAAACTGTCTCCTTGCTGGTGCCCACTGAAAGCAGAGGTCAGAGGTCAAAGTGAAGGAGCAGTGGCTCCACTATGTTCTTGTTAGTTTGGTCATAATCTATCCAGGTTGGGATCTCGCAGACAGGAGCAGCGGCAGCACCCCACCATCAGGAGTGGTTCTGAAACTCTGGTTCTGGCAGAGACTGACCCAGAGAGAGCGGCCCACATTGTTCTGGAACAGAACCACAGAACCACAGTCGCTCCACAACCAACTACTCCAGTGGGCAACAAGTGCAAACCAGCATGCAAACCTGAAAAACAAACACAATAAGACGCTGCAGAAGCAGGGAACAGAAGCTTCACTCTTCTGTATCCTGCAGAATTTTTACCCTCAATCAACAAAACAAAAACTGCATCGCAATGTTAAAAAATGCTGCAACTACAACAAATAGCCGCAAAAAGGAAAATGCTGCAAATAGCAAAAGTATCAAATCGCTGCAAATTCACTCCACAAAACAGAAGTCCTCCAGACCACTAGGGGCAGTTGACCACCAAATCATATCCCTAAAAAAATGGGATCTCCATTAAAAAATTTTAAAAATGTGTGTTATACTTTTATCACATTATGGAACATCATATTTGCGTATTTAATGGTTTCTACTCCAGATTGTCCCTAGTGGTCTGGAGTGAGTTTGCAGCAATTTGGACTTTCTGTCATTTTTTACTATTTGCAGCATTTTCAATTTTGCTTGTGTTTCATGCAGTTGCAGGATCTTTGCAGGAGTGGCAGCATTTTATTTTTGCATTTGTTTTGTTGGTTGTAGGTTTCTGCTGCTATTTTCTGTGTTTGCATGTCTCTTGCATTTGTTCCTTGTGTTAGTATGTTTCAGAGTTTGCATCATTCGTGTCTTTGCATCAGTCAGCCACATGTGAAGAGACAAACGGAGTCCTGAGGACTTCAAACCAAACACTCTTTTCTCCATGACAACACTTTGAGATGATGTCTGTGAAGACCACAAATGGCTCCTAACCGCCCCCTACTGGCCCTAAAAAGAATACAGGTAAAATGTTGCTTACCTCTTTCAGATTTTAAGTTTTTGTCTATTTTCAGAGCAGCTGTTCATCTCCACAAATGTGTTTAAAAGCCCAATACCACCAAGCACTTCCTGCTTCATTCAACAACCACTGTTCCAGGTCATATAAACCCACCTGGCGCTTCCTCCATGTTTGATGGCGATTTTCCCCAAAGGTTTGTCCAGCTCATCGTGGACCAGCAGGATGTCTTCAGGCTTGACTCCATATTTTCCAGCTGGAAAAGAACGTCAATAAAATGATTATAAAGTGACCATATGTGTTTCTGGTTTCATTCAGAAAACCATTGCTGAAATACGAAGAATAAAAATTTATAATCTTCTAGTAACAGAAACATGTTACTATTTATGTGATTCTTTTAGAATAACCAATCAGATGTTCCGGTTCTCAGAGGCTAATCTCATCATAATCTGGAGTATGACTAAAACTCTGAGAAAGTAATCTGATGTTTAAAGGTGAAATAATAAAACCATGATTGTTGAGTCAAACAGAACCATAAAAAACAAATGGGTCCTGAATGAGCCCTTTCACCGAGCCGCCAAAGACCTCACCCGCTCTGGCCACTGACACCCCGTTGACGTTCATCAGCAGCCGGGGACGGAGCAGAACCACGCGGGCCTGCTGGACCTCCGTCAGGATGACCTCACCGGATACATGACGGTCGCTGTGCCAACGGTCGGCCACACCGAGCTGGGCAGCTAGCGCTCCCAGTACCGCCATCCCAACGTTGTGTCTGGTACCCTGCATCCCCGGGTTCCCGAGCCCCACCACCTGGCGCACACACGCACGCACACACACACACATAAACACACACACGCATACACACACACACATGAACACAAACACACACACATGAACACACACACGCATACACACACACCCATACACACACATTTGTGGTTTAGGAGATTATGACTTTTGGGGTGTTTATGGGGACACACCTTTCCCTTCATCAGGTGAACACAGAAATTGTCAAAAAATACATTATTTTACCTGCTCCCTCTCCACACAAATATATAGAGATAGAGAAACTAATCTGAACCATGATCCAATCAGGTTTATTATTGATCAGTTATGCAATAATCACCTAAAAACTGAAACTATGATTGTTTTGTTTGGTCTTTATTTCTTGTGGATTGAATAAAATAAATATTTTTGCTTTATTTGACCTGAAGTATTTCATAAGAGAAATTACTTAACACATTTTTAAAAATTCTAGCTGTAAAATATGTGATGGTTTTCTGCATTTATAAAAATCCAAAACTATAAATATTAATTGTAGTTGAGCTTAAAAAGATGGAGTTTCTGTAAACATTAATTTTCAAGTCTTCCCCAGATTCTCAAATGACTGGGCCATTCTAACATAGATTTGTGTTTTGACCCAAGTTTAGTGCTGCTGCCCTGCTGGAAGATGAACCTCCTCTCAGTCTCAAGTCTTCAGAGTCCAACAGGTTTTCCTCCAGGGTTTCCCTTCTTTAGCTACACCCACGTTCCCATCAACTCTGACCTGTTCCTCTTTCCCTGCTGCAGAGAAACACCCCACAGCATGATGCTGTCACCTTCATCTTGAATGCTAGGGACTATGTGCAGCATTCGTTTTACAGCACCTAATACATTAATATGTTGGTGTCATGCTGCTTGTTGGGGTAATCGGAAACTGCTATTAGAAGGTGAATACTGGACAAAATGGGTTATTAAAGGACAGAAACCTATGCCGAACAGTTAACGTCGGTTAAATGATTAGGAGTTTTGTGTTTATTTCAAAAGATCTTATAAATAACTTGAAGAAAACCTCCAAAAATAATTCATTTGTTGTTTCTTGAATGAGGTTTAGTTAGATCGGCTGGTTACGGTCATCGGAACAATAACTTATTGAAACAGCAGCTAATTTAATCAGTTTAGGAGTGAATAAATTCTGAATAGAGGATGAGGGACTAAACTCACCAACTTTCTCCGACCCTCTGAGTGAATCTCCGCTTCAGCTCCGATCATCGCTGCTTTAAACTGCTCTCCCAGCAGAACTCGGTTTATGACTCTCGTTAAAAGTCTTCTCATCGCGACAAAGCTCAACAGCTTCTTAAAGAAATGCGATAAAAACGGACAGACTTTAGTCAAAAACGAACGGTTTTTCATTCGGCTGTGATGTTAAAGCGATCCGTCTTAATAATCAGTCAGTTCTTGAGGTAACGCACAGGAACAGGAAGCAGCATCCTGAACAGATGAACCTACGTTCACATCAATCTCAGAAACTGTAAAACCTGCAAAATATCCAATTAAATCATTAATTTTAAAAACAAAACCCTCTTTAAATATTGTCTCAATCATTCGTGACCTTTCACTCAAACTAGTCAAGGAGAAGAAGACCAGCAGGTTTTCCCCGGTGTGTAGAGCTTCAGCGCCATCTAGCGTCGCGGCAGACAACGTGCATTTCCAGGCCAAAGGTAATACATTACAAAGAATAAAGAAAGTATCAAATAGATATTTTATGTCATAATTACGAGAAAGTAGTACATATCGAAATGTATCTGGCCCTACAGAATAGTTTAAAGTATTTAATTTCCCTTTGAGATCAATAAAGTATTTTTTGATTTACCCACGTTAACATGAGAAACCAGCTTGTTAAAATGAGAAACTTTCTTGATAACTTTTATATTTGTTTATTTGACCAGAAGTATTTCATATGTACACATTTTTTAAATTATTGAAATACATTTTCACATTTAATAAATTGTAGCTTAACATGATACATAATTGTAAAGAACCCAATAACTAAAGTTACTTTCAATTCATTTATTTTTTACTTGCAAAGTTCTCATGACTTATTTCAATCACAAGACGTCTGAAAGGATTCGGTTCCCTAAACTGCAACTTCACTTCCCAAAAAACTCAAATTTTTTCTGCTTACAGGAAGAAGATGGTCTGGCATTTCATGGTGGCATGCTGGGGCAACATGCAGCAGCTTGGGAAAGGAAGGAGAATACTGCATCCAGAACCTGGATTCTTTTAAACTCTTTAATCTGGTCTCGGTCTGCGTTGAAGGCAGGAAGATAACAGTGAGGTTAAAAAAACTGTATATTTCTGCATCTGCTCTATGTAAAGGGTGTGTTTGCATCTGTATTTGTGAAAAGATGAGGCATGCTAAAAGAGCAGCAAAATGACCCGTGTGACCTCACCACATCTGGCCTGCAGTCCTGCTTTGATTCAGGCTGAATCCTGTTTGCAGCCGAGCATTCAGACTGAATCCTGTTTGCAGCTGAGCATTCAGACTGAATCCTGTTTGCAACTGAGCATTCAGACTGAATCCTGTTTGCAGCTGAGCATTCAGACTGAATCCTGTTTGCAGCTGAGCATTCAGACTGAATCCTGTTTGCAACTGAGCATTCAGACTGAATCCTGTTTGCAGCCGAGCATTCAGACTGAATCCTGTTTGCAACTGAGCATTCAGGCTGAATCCTGTTTGCAACTGAGCATTCAGACTGAATCCTGTTTGCAGCTGAGCATTCAGACTGAATCCTGTTTGCAACTGAGCATTCAGACTGAATCCTTTTTGCAGCTGAGCATTCAGACTGAATCCTGTTTGCAGCTGAGCATTCAGACTGAATCCTGTTTGCAGCCGAGCATTCAGACTGAATCCTGTTTGCAGCCAAGCATTCAGACTGAATCCTGTTTGCAGCCAAGCATTCAGACTGAATCCTGTTTGCAGCCAAGCATTCAGACTGAATCCTGTTTGCAGCTGAGCATTCAGACTGAATCCTGTTTGCAGCTGAGCATTCAGACTGAATCCTGTTTGCAGCCGAGCATTCAGACTGAATCCTGTTTGCAGCCAAGCATTCAGACTGAATCCTGTTTGCAGCTGAGCATTCAGACTGAATCCTGTTTGCAGCTGAGCATTCAGACTGAATCCTGTTTGCAGCCAAGCATACATGTTAGACTCACTCAGTGAAAAAAAGAGAAAAACTATCAGAGCAACAATAACTTCTATAATATGGAATCTGAAGATGTTAACCTCATGAAGCGTCCAGCGGTCCTCTTAATGCAGAATGCACCAACTGACCCGCAAAACAAAAGCTAAAGAAAAATAAAGTTATATTAATCGTACTAGATTTGAAATTTCAATCAGATATTTACTTTTATTATTTTGAAAGACAAATGAAGATTTTCTTCTCAGTAGTTGGGCTTCCATTGTGCAAATTGAAATTATAAAAATAAATTTGATTAATGGAAGCATGCCAATTTAAAAATGTCATGTTTTCTGATAGAACATTTATGAGCTACAATGAGGTGGTTTTATTGTTTCTATTTCTGCATCACAAGGATCGTGATCAACAACCGGATCTTACTTCTGCAAGGAAAGATGAAGAAGACGACAGGAAGTGAACACATTTATTAGTGTGCGATTTTAATTACATTTCTCATTTAATGGAAACAAACACCTCAATTGCAAACTTGTGTTTTCTAGACAGTTTTGTGTATATTTGTAATGGAAAAGCAGTTTGTCAGACGTTAAAACAGACAAAGTTTTTTCTGGTTTTAAGATTTCCAAAGTTGCTCTGGTTATTTTTTGAAAACATTTTCCGGATGCTTGGAAGGCCAAGCATCCGGTCAAACAAATGTAACTTTCAAGTTGAAATAAACTCAAAACAAATTCTAATAAAGTTCTATTGATCTGTAGATCTATACGTACATGGCATATATCAAGAGGAGCATCGTATAATTAAGCTCCACTTGTGAAAGTAAATTGAATTGATTTTATTTAAATGGGACAATGCATATCAATGAATGTATATTGTTGTCATAAATCTGCAGAGTATAAATACATTTCCCTGTAAAAATAAAAGTAATCTAAAAGCAGGTGAGCAGATACTGATTACCCATAAATTCTGCTTCTAAAGACGGATTATAATCCAGTTTAGCTCCCTGCAGTGATAAATGTTTTACTGAAAAATCTCTGCAGATTGAGAAATCACAGCTCAGTGTGTCTGCAAAATGCAGTTTTCCTCATTTATTCACAGAAATTATAGCAAATATATTGGCACAAACATTTCTTTCAATTTACAGTCAAAAAGAAAATCACAATCTGGTGAAGTTCAACACAGTGTCACAGGACTTTCTATCACCAGATATGAAGATGACCAAATGTGGAACCAAAAACAGTGGACATTTGACTTTGTGTGAATGTCCTTGATTTGACTCTAATGTTGCTGCCATTGGCCTAAAATCCCCCCTGTGGGGCAATAAAGGACATTTCAACTATTCTGTTCTCTATTCTATGAATTCTGCCAGAACCACAAACCAATCATGTGTCTGCAGAAGTTGGGTCTTTATTTGGTGTTGGAAAGCTGATAGGCTCCTTGGATATGACCTCCTTCATAATCGGGTATTAAATGTCATGCAGGCTGAGATGAATCCATTTCTACCTGAAACGAACCTGAAGGTTCATCTGAACAACTGGAGCAAAGAAGACCTGAGAAATCTGCACCTGGTGAGAAAATGTTTGTTCACCTTGAAGAGGCAAAATGCTCATTTTCTCTTCTCTTTACTTTCAAATAGTCTACAGTTAATATTCCTTTAGATTAGATCTGGTATTACATAACATACAGATTCAGTTAGCTTTGGTCATTAACTGGTTGGTTAATTCGGCATTTTTAGATGATGGGAACTAAAACTGACTTGTCTGTTTTTTGCAGCTGCTGCTGCTGTCCTCTCACCGCTGTGAAGATCAACTCAACGGACAGAAATGGTAAAATAAAATTAACAACCATCAAATCTAAAAGCAAAAAAAAATGACTTTTGAGACATGGAATAATATTACATAATGATGTAACAGTATCTTATTTTTTTATATGTAAATAATAAATACATAAAGAGAGGCACAACTTTTACTTAACAGATAAAACTCATTTTGTCACATTTCAAAACAATATACGGCGTACCACAGGGGACATGGGGAACTTTTTTTTCTTTTGCGTTCCCTCACGAAACAAAAGGTTTTGCGAGGGAACGCAAAAGAAAATAAATTCCCCGTGTCCTCTAGGGGCTCCGTAACAATAATCTCCCTAAATGATGCATGCATTCTAAATTATTTCTCAAATAATTTAGAAAAGTAATGTTTCTGTTTTTAAATATTTAATTGGTTTAAATATTTAAAAACAGTTTAGTTTTAGTTTTCAGCAGAAATGATGGGAGTTTGCATAATCAGTATCTTACCTGCAGCTGATAGTAACAGAGTTTCGGAGCGAGCAAAAGCAAGTTTTCATGGAGGAGTCAAACTAAAACTCAAATTAAATGTAACACAGCAGTGCTTGGCATCACTTTTATGATTAGTTCAATAATTATCTTGTAGTTTTTTACCGTGAAGGCTGAGAAAACTTGTGTTGCAAAACAGATCATTTTTTGCTTTAAGAAATAAAAAAGCAAAGTAGCTGGCAAATTATGTTTTAGTTCAGCAAAAAAAATAAAAAAAAAAATTAATCATGACAAAAAATAAATTTATTTATGGAAGTGATACTTATAAAACATTTTTATAGAAACTAATTTGTGTCACAAATAAAATGAAGTGTTTTTGGAAAGTCTTCTCTGCAGGGATTGGACTCATTTTCACTTTAACGCAAACAGTTTATTGTGTTCATGTTTTGCTTTGTTCAGAGCCACATTCGCTCTACCAACGTCTGATCTGATCACTGGGCTTTTTATTATGCAACAACAAATTAATTGTTCTTTTGAAGTCTAAACATATATGAAAGCTCTACCTTAAATTTACAAAATTTAAGGTTCTCACAAAAATCACAGGAGACATCAAAGCGTGTGGGCGTGGCCGAATGTCAAAATCTGACTTCACCATGAAACAAACCTTCGCCATGTATGCATCCGGTTTGTATGCATCCGGTTTGTATGCATCCGGTTTGTATGCATCCGGTTTGTATGCATATGGTTTGTATGCATCCGGTTTGTATGCATCCGGTTTGTATGCATCCGGTTTGTATGCATATGGTTTGTATGCATCCGGTTTGTATGCATCCGGTTTGTATGCATCCGGTTTGTATGCATCCGGTTTGTATGCATCCGGTTTGTATGCATCCGGTTTGTATGCATCCGGTTTGTATGCATCCGGTTTGTATGCATCCGGTTTGTATGCATCCGGTTTGTATGCATCCGGTTTGTATGCATCCGGTTTGTATGCATATGGTTTGTATGCATATGGTTTGCACCAAACTGGATATGTATGACCTTTGCTGACCTCTAAAAAGCCCAGCAGGACTTTACTGAAATTCAACTCCGGGGCGCCCCCTACATTATTCCCTGATACATCATTTGATTTTCACCAGATTTTTTTGTGCATCATCAGGAAGAACTGCAGCACACATTAGTGTCACACATTAATGACATCAGTAAGGGGAACTCAGGGAAAAACTGCAGGTTATTGGTTGACTGCTCCTGCTTCGCCTCTCTATGACATAAAATGGATACTCTATCCAGTAACTCTTCAGAACAACACAACATGCATCAAACCCTACAGGAAGTCCTCTCCCACCTTTGCCACAAAACAGGAAGTGACAACAACTTGAGTCTGGAAGGTCAGATTTCAGCCAAATTAATTACCGCTGGACTCGTACTGAACTGAAGGCTATCTGGAAAATTCACCAAATGCGTTTCCAAGAGGACAGGTGTGGAACGGCGTGAGAGTATTGACGACTGTAACGAGGTGCCAGAAAAAAACCCAAATTAAATGGGTCAACATGAGTCCAGACCGGCGCTGAGCTGCGAAGGCAGGCTGAGCTGCGAAGGCAGGCTGAGCTGCGGCTTTAATTGTGATCATTACTCATAATAACTTTGATTTGTGTTCTTTTAGTTGCGGTTGCTGTTGCTGCTGGTTCTGGCCTCAGCCAGTCTTCAGGTCCAGCCACCAGATGAAAATGGTAGGAGGGGAAATGGTACGTTGAATTCTTTGGATCCTTAAAATAAAAGTTTGATTCCTGTATTTAAAAAAACACTTTTCTGTGACGGTGTTGCGTGAGTCAGTATGTTATCTCGGGTCAAGAAAGGGAGAAGTTTGCATAACAGAGATGAGCTTTGAGCTTGAAAGAATTAATAACGGTTAAATATTTGTTGTGAAAATTAAAGGGTTGAACATCTTTAGAGCCAGCAGTAAAAAATATAACTACTCTTTTTCTTTTACAGTCTCCTCCCTGAATCTCCATCCAGGTGATGATGTTGATAAAATCAACTCTGTGTCTGTCTCCATGGTCAAACGTGTTCTAGCTTCTCTTGCACTCAAACACAAACGCCCAGTTAACTCGTCGCTCCCAGAGTTAGGTGATACAGGCCTGCTCCGATGGGAAAAATGGAATGGTTCCCTTCCTAACGGATCCGTTTCCATTTACAACAGTTACTTTAAGCGCACCGACTACATCTGCAAAGTTGGATGCAATTCTGGCTTTTACAACCCCAGCAAAGGCCCTTGCTGCCACTACCCAATTAAGAACGAAGAGAAATGTTCCTCCTCTTTTCAAGTCCTTGTGAATGAAGATAATTTTGAGATCCCGGTGTGGAAGGAAGGTTCTTATAGTTCTGTTCCACAGAATGCAGTCAGAACCTGCTCCAGTGAATTAATGTATGTAGGGAAGAACGAGTACGGGTTGGGGAAGGTTGATGTGAAAAATCAACGCTTTTATCTCCCCCGGGAGGGGAAAGAATATCAGTACAAGACGTATGAGGTTCTGACCCGCATGATGGTTGAAGATGAGATCATTACTGATGTCAGTTATGTCATAACCAAAGCTAAGATCATCAAAGGGCTTCCCACAACCCTCCAAAGCTCTACCACTACCAACAGAGACCACAATCCTGTGAAGACAACCGTTTCTCTGACTAAGACAACCACAGATGAGAGACGGTGGGACATCAGCTCCTCCATCACCGTCGGTGTGAAAACGTCCATCACTGCAGGAATTCCTGGCATTGTGGGTGGAAATATTGAAATCAGTTCAGAGACGACTTGGACATTCTCAGGTGGACATACCTGGGCAGTGCAGGTCTCCCACTCTGTCTCTGTAGAGCTTACCGTACCACCAAACCACAGCTGCACAGTGAAGATGGTTGGTTATCAGTACAAAATGGACGTTCCCTTCACCGCCCGCATCAACCGAACCTATGAAGACGGAGAGACCAGATCAGTCATCATCTCTGGAAATTATCATGGAGTCCAAGTTGGAGACATTGAGGCTGTGGTGGACCCATGCCAACCTTTGTCCAACTGAGAACGTTCTTCTAATAAGATTTAGGATGTTTGTAGCGTTGAAAAACCTCTAAAGCATAACTGGCAAGGCTTTACCAGGCATTTGATTTAGAAACACAGCTTCATTTATGCTTTTTAATTCATAATCTTTATAGATGTAATTATACAGTATATTTCTGGTGCAATCCTTTTGATTCATCAGATGTGCCTCTATTTTTGACAATGCTGCATATATATTTTAAATGAAGTAGCAAAGTGCTACTTAAAAAGTCACCTAAACCACCTAAGCTGTCAAATTCTCAACATAGTACACTAAATATTAAATGTACACATAATATACAAGAGAAAAAGAAATTGTGTTTTAATACTAATGATGAAGCCACAACTAGACACCAAGATCCAAGGCCATCACATTTCACAGGCCAGTAAGAAGATTGAGTAGAAAAATTGACGAGGGAAGTAATGCTAGCCTGACTTTGAAAATCTTAACATGTAGATGTGCACGGAGTCTGGCCTAGTCAAAGTATTCAATGACATCCATATAAATACGGACTGTATTATATGGTCCACTGGACCTCAGTGTCCACCATGACATTATTGAACCGACTGGAGAGTCGGGTCGGACTCTCCGGTTCGGTGCTCGACTGGTTTGAATCTTACGTAAAGAACAGGGATTTCTTTGTTTCAATTGGAAACTTCTCATCAGAGAGGTCAAAGGTCACATGTGAGGTACCCCAAGGTTCAATCCTAGGAGAAGCAGCTTTCAGCATCTATGCACCAAAAATTTGGAACAAACGTCCAGAAAACTGTAAAATGTAATGATGGAACTTGACTTAATGTTTATTCTATGTTGCATGACTTTGTGTTTTTGTGTTTATGATGTAAAGCACTTTGAAATGCCTTGCTGCTCAAATGTGCTATACAAATAAATTTGATTGATAATTGATTGAATACTATGGTAACGGGTCTGTGTGGTTTTGTTTGTTCTTCTCTGGTGTTTCTGCATCGTTTCCCCGTTGCTTTGCCGCTCTGACCTAAACGAATCCCTACATCTCCAGGCTTCCTGTTAGCTGAATTATTTCACAGTGAATTGTCCCACATGGCAAGTAAAGGAAGAGTCTTTTTGAACCCCTCAAAACATCTCCAAACATTTAAAATCAGTTATCAACATTTTCCTCATCAACAATTTCAACCATTTCCCCAGTTTAATTATTGTCTAACGTTTGTCACTCATAATATTATGAGTGGTATTATTGTACCATTTTTAAATGGTACAATAAATAAAAACTAACATTACTGACAAGGAAACTCAACACCCGTTGGCCACTACAGAGTAAATATTCTTTTTTCATTTATTTTATTTAAATGTATTAAAAACATGATGTTAAAACTCACTGAACCATCATTTGCTATTTTATTACCACTACATACATGTTAATAAATATTGAAATTATTATGAGCAGGGAACAGACGATATTTCTAAAGATATCATCCAAAAAACTATAAATGTGATTGTTTGAAGGAGTCGCTTTTTATGAACTTTGGACAAAAGTATTTTTCTTATCTAATTTAAAGATGACTGAATCCAGAAAAACAGTTTTATCGGTGCACCCTGTGAGCTAAACTAAGCAATTTCTTTCTTTTAAATCCCATGTAAATTGGAGTTTATTAAACCTTTGCATAGTATTAATGTTTTGTTGTTGTTTATTCCCTGAGACGATATCCTGATCGGTGTAACTCCATCACTGACATGTTTTAATCAGTTTTCAAAATAATTCCTCAATCAGGCCTAAATTTGAAAAAGCTTATCTATAAAAAGCATTACAGTAACTAAAGCTACGTTTTGCAGTTTTATAAAGATGAATATTTTATTTATTTCATGTGACAGGCCAAGTGTTACAAACATTGCATCCACAGGTTGCACTTTCTAACTTTTAATTTAAGAGTCAAGAATTTAGAAATGCAAAATCTGAGACGAAGGAAATAAAAATGTTTTACGATGCACTGCTTTATGATTCTGTTTAGGTAAAGTGACTTTTAATGCTTGGTTTCAGATAAACTTTAGTAGTTAAAATGAATGTAAACTGACTTCACACCTCATGTTTTCTTTCACACTTGCTGCTCATAAGCCTGATGGTGTTCATGATGTTTGTGATAATATCTGAGCTGTTGCTCAGAGCCAGTGAAGAACAGCTTCATGATACTGATCATCAACACGTTCAGAGAAAAATGGGGAAGCTTCAGAGAACATCACAACTTAGGGGAACGGATGACGTAATGTGAGCAGTGGTCAGGGGAGATTTGCTGCATGAGGCACCTGGTGCATCTCATAAATTAACATCAGAAGGAAAGAAGTTTACGTGGAAATGTTGGATCAACACCTGAAGACAGGAGGCTGGAAAAACGGCAGAGATGATTTTTAAAGCGGATAACGATTCAAAGGATACCACTAAACGTGAAGGTTTAAAATGCTAAAATGATGAGTGTGAACCTGAAAACCAATAGCAAACTGTTGTAAGATGCATATGGAAAAAAAATATATATGTTTGACTGAATTCACAGTTTAAAGGTAATTTTACCGAATCCAACAGGAAAACTGATGAATCTGAGGAATATTTAGAAAACCCTCTAAATGACCTGAAACTGGACCCGTTTAGTATAATTTAATGTAACATAGTGTGATAAAGGTGATGAGTTCATGGATTTATCTGCTTCAATATTCAGATAAAATGCAGAATAATTTCTACAGGGACTTGGAGGGAACTGGTAACAACCAATCCTGTGTGTCTGCAGAAGTCGTGTCTTTATTTGGTGTTGTGTGAGTTGAATTAAGCTCTGATTGGCTCTTTAGAAAAATCCTCCTTCAGATAATCAGATATTAAAGAAGCAGCAGGCTGAGATGAAACCATTTCACCAGCAGGTTTATTTCACCCACTGCAAAAATCAGGACCTGAGAACTCGTCAGCTGATCTCAATCAGGTAAGACCTTCTCAACTCTCATGTAACACATTGGTCCAGCATTCCGACTTTAAACTGGATCTGGTATTAGATGAAACAAATAACCATCTAGGTTTGGTCAATAACTGGTTGATTAATTTGGTAATATTTTAGGATGGAAACTGAAACTGATTTGTGTCTCTTATTTACAGTTACTACTACTGTCGTCCCTCCGCTGTGAAGACGAACTCAGCGAACAGAAATGGTAAAATAAACTAACATCCAGGGGTCCTTCTAATTAAAATAATTAAATGAAATTCAATTAAATAATAACCAGACGCTGCACCGGTTTGTCGTGGTGAAGAGAGAGCCGAGTCAAAAATGGTTTTGAGCCGGAAAAGTGTAGAGTGCTTCTCCGGGTCGGAGGGATGTTCTGCCTCATGGAGTTCAAGGATCTCATTGTTCACGAATGAGGGAAGAAAGGAGCGGGAGATCGGCAGGACGATTGGCGCAGCGTCTGCCGTGAAGCGGCGCTGTGCCGGTCCGTCGTGGTGAAGAGAGA